TACAACTACAGATTCGGAGCCAGAAGAAGAGACCGACGAAGCGGGTCCCGATACAACTACAGATTCGGAGCCAGAAGAAGAGACCGACGAAGCGGATCCCGACATCGAGGTGGATTCCTCCAACTCCAACTCTACCTCTACGGATGATGAACTCGACGGCGAGGACGAAGATGTGCCTGATGGAGAAGTCCCCGAAGGTCCACCACCCCCAGGTCCAGCACAAGTGCCGGAGCCCAATCCTTACAAACCTTTCCTCCACGTTGACAACCTTCGATACGCTGCGACAAATCTCATCAGACCAAGTCGAGTCTGGCAATCCAGGATTGATAGGCAAAACGAGCTAAATGCGAATCCAAGTACCATTGCAGCTTTCTAAACGGAGAACAGATTCATCCATTGTGAAAACGAGATCGATTGCTCGTCACTCCATCTTGTATCATCCAGACCAAAGTTCCGCTTTTCCTAAATTCATTTCAAGCGATTCCGTTGAGTCGTCAATATATTGAAAGCACCAAAGATACCCATAGTTTCCCTTCGTTTTGTAATAGTACAGATAAATGTTAACCCTGAGGTCTTTTGCGCTGACTTTTGCTTACGAAGAAAAAGGATTAATCAAAGCATAGAAATTCTCGACGAAGATAATCTTCCTGTTGTTTTCTGATTATTATTTTGTAGAATATAAATCGACGGCTCGGTCCCATTCCGCGGCAGCTCTTGGCGCTAATGCAGACAGTGTCTGCCATAATTTTTCACGATGAAAGGAATCATACGCACATCCCGAGGCTCGACGCGATGATCGTCCTACAAAATATTGTCCCGATGTGCCTTCGAGTTCTGTGCTGGTGCAGCACCATGTTTCGTCCAAGGCATTCTCGACCGGTATTCCTATTGGTCCCCAACCGTCCAACAGCATCTTCGTGTTGACAGTTCCTGGATCAAGACAGTTGCAGGTGACGATGGATGTATCGATACCAGCAAGGTCGTGAAGTCTGTGAGCCATTTCGATGGTGAGCATCGCGTCCAGCAATTTCGATTCCGAATATGCGCCGTGTGCAGAATAGGATCGTTTCCGATACTGAGGGTCGTCCCAGTAGTTCTTCGGAAGTTTCCAACTCTGAGAAACAGAAGATGCAATGACAATTCTACTGCTTCTACTGCTGTTGCTTCCGTTCGCGAGCAGCATTGGAAGCAGCATGGAAGTCAAAATGAAGGGAGCAAGCACATTGACGGCAAAGGTCAATTCCAATCCATCTTCGGTGCGAACAAAGTCTTCGGAATAAACTCCAGCGTTGTTCACGAGAATTTTCAGATTCGAAGCTATTGGGGCATCGATACTTCCTGTTCCACCGTCCGCAGAAGAATTCGAATCGTCATTTGGCGAGGTTCCATCAGAGCACCGTTCAAACACGGCCTGGGCTAGATCGTAGCATCCGTCTACAGAGGATAGATCAGCTGCTGGGAGGGACACGACAGCACTGTTTCTTGACGTCGTCACGACGCCGGCCTTCTTGCCCGGCTTCTCGATTCCTTTGTTTTTTTGCAGGGAATGTGCCGCGTTCTGAATGCGGGCTTCGTCTCGTCCGTGAATCAAAACTTTGGCGACGTCGTTGTTTCCGGTGAGTAGATTCCGTGCCGTTGTTAAGCCAATCCCGTCCGTGCTACCGCTGATCAATGCGGTGTCCGAAAGAGCGGTAGCACCGAACCAATACTGACGTTTTGGAATACTTCCCATGAGGAAAAAGAAACCGGCCAACATCAAATTCAATCCAAATGGTGCAGCGATCATTTTTCACTTCTATCTTCCTTAGCTGTTTGAAGTGGGTCCCTCCTTGGTTGGACCTTAGTATTTGGTGGAATCTTACAATACGACCAGTGCTCTATCGACTGAAAGTACAATCGCATTGCATGCAAAAATCGCAAATTGTTCCCTAAAGAGAGGTCGATCCTTTATCCCATTTGCTTGTTTTACAAATTACAAAAACTCATTTCATTGCATGGTTTCGTTTTTTGTGAAGATGGTAAACTCATTCCTTGCATTAAGCAATTTTGTATGCTCTTTTACTTCCATTCCCTAGGTGAATCAATCGCTTCATGATAATCATCCCATAAAACATATTTTGATTCAAATCAAAACATTTTTTATTCCATCTTTCCCCCTCAGACCTTCAAATCTACTGTACAAGATTACCTTTCAACATGCCAGCAACAACAAGAAGCTGATCTAGATCACCTTCTAGTAGTCGTGGTACTGCCCCTCAATGCCCTTTCCATCCAAAGGTCTAGTACATCAACATCACCTTCCTTGATCATCAACTTCATCCCAACCTGACCAATGAAATGAACAATGCTTACTATCGCTTGTCACTCAACTTTGACCAGTTCCTTAACCAGGATGGAGATGCATTTGAGGATCAGCAGCTAATCATTTCACAAATTGTTGAGTTGAAGATCATCGAAAACATCAAGAAAAATGCAGTCAACACCGGCAACGTCGTCCATATTGACAACATCATCACCAACAAAACCTCACTTATGGTGACTGTTACAAAAGAAACCCGTCTCAAACGTGGAAGTGACATTCGTACCCCCAACTGTGGACTGCTCACCCACTCCTGATTGAATCACCATCTATGTTAGTTACAACTTGTCCAACTCAAGGACCTCTCTCCCTCATGGAATATTGAAAGAAATACAACCACTACATCATACTTGGTGTATTAATTGAAGGCAATAAACAAATATACAGGGCAAAAATTAATGCAAACACTTTGTGAATGGATGTACACACTCCTCTTTTCTTCAAACAGAGATATGCAGAGAACAAGACTTCGATCATCTAAAACACAGGTTCAAACCTTCCAACTTCATTGAAACCCTTCAATGAAACCCTTCGATGAAACCCTTCAATGAAACCCTTCAACAATATTTAAACTTCCCTAATAGCCTGGTGACGCAAGTGCAACCAGTGATACCATCCCCACCTCAAAATACAACTCATACATACTGACATACAAATGTGCTGAAAACATTCCAAAACCTGTCTCGGTAAATCAGATCCAAATTGCTGAAATTGATGACAAACACCTGAGTTTTGCCTACTCAATGTCCATCAACCAAATCAAAGCCAACCCAGCATCATTCAACTCCMGGTGCTTTGTTTGTGACATGATGACTGGCCAAACCTCCCAACATGATTTCAAAAATTGTCCAATTCTACAACAAATCATCTTTGTCAGAATTTCATCAACTTCTGCCAAATGTATGAACGTGCTCAAAACACACTTGCAAAGGCAAACGCAACAGTCAACCTCATTCATACAGAAGCACCACCAGAAGAAACACAGATGATTGTTGACAAAACCTTCACACCCAACGGTTCACCAAACAATGGTAAAAACAAAATGGATTTTGTGTAGGGTGGACAATAAAATTGGAACCTCCAAGCCTTTCATCCTCTCCATCATCACCAACCCCCATTCTCTGTATGCTCAATGCCTCCCATATAATGCATATTCAATTTATCCCTTCCAGTGACATCACACGTGATACGTCACACCATCCATCATCAAATATCATAACAACGCCAACATATCTGCATCTTGATTTTTCACCAAGAGTTGAAAAGGGTCCTGATATGCCCTACGAACCTTTCAACAAATCAGAATTTAAAATCATTGATGTAAACTCATTACAGGACATACCAAACGTACCACTACCACCAAAGAATATACACCACAAACATCGTCTCTTTGACAGTCAGAGCACAAATCAACACTGATGCTGATATCACATGATGTACAAATTTGATCAACATCATTCACAATAACAAACCGTACACTAAAGATTTTCCATGTCAACTCAAACTTGTCAGTGCATTAAACTCCACAGATGGCATATACCCTCATGGCAAAGGCTATATTCATGTCCCTACTATTAATGAAAAAGGATACGTCAGAATCTGTTGTCTATGTTCTCCAACACTATCCTCAACCTTAATCTCTGAAGACAACATTGTTTGATCCGACCCACGATTACAACTTTGAGACTATACCATTGCATTGTACAAATTCCACGATTGAAATACAATCACAATTCAATGCAAACATCACAAAGATGACAACAAATTGATCACCATACATGGTGTAATTTCCTTTGGAAAATCATACACACAACCGTTGATAATGCCTGATCTGCTGCCTCATCACCCTCGACCAAATAAATACAATTCTCTTGAGAAAGCCCTCAAAGAAGACAAACAATTTGCAAAGAATTGTTTCACTGCCACTATCAATAAAATACACGTCTATCAAAAATGCGCACATGACCATATTGAACACAAAATGCATCAATTGCCATCAGACCTCCCTGACCACCCAGTCAATGACTGGATCTTTGATGCTACTCCAATATATGCCATCAAAGCACAAACTGAACGACTCCTGTGGCACTAACATCTAGGCCATATCAATGACAAATATCTATACAATGCTCACAAATTTATTGACAGTATTCCCAATTCAAACACAACGATCCAATTCTTGATTGCTGTCGTACCTGCATTCAATCCAAACAAACAAACACACCAGCTGGTCAAAATTCAACACGTTCTGCTTCACTCCCTTACCAATGTCTATCAATCAATTTCTCTTTCAGTGGTACAAAGTCAAAAGATGCTTCCCGTGCACAAGACTATGAAGGAATCAATGGTGAAACAAGTTGGATCCTTATCTCAGATCACTTCACAGGATATTTGATTGGTGATACTCAACTCTCAAAAGCTTCTCCAATCACCTGGCTCCAAAATTATTGGACATAAACACACAGAATTGTTCCGACAAGTAGGTATACATGGGTCAAGGTGGAGAACTGTATCACAATCCAGAAGTACGGAAACTCTCCACACAAAAAGGATACCATATACAACCTACTGGTGCTGACTCTTTGCACCAAAATGGATCCGTAGAACAGGCCCATTGAACAATTGCTGATAGAATATGTTGCCTTCTCTCTGGTGCCAACCTTCCAATCAAATTTTGGCCATATGCTTTTCATCATTCTGTCTGGATATTGAATGCATTACCTCAATGTACACAAGCCAAATTGCCACTGCAGCTTGCATTGAACGCCTTACCCCAATGTGCACAAACCAAATCACCTTTACAACTTACTACAGGCAAGAAAGAAAATCTACACAATTTCAAAACTTTTGGTTGTTGTGTTTAGGTATGTCCATCTGGACAACAATGAGCAAAGTTCAAAAATAATTCAAGAAAAGGTATCTTTCTTGGATATCTTCCACAAACTACAAAGAACATCCTTTGGTCGTATGACATCAAGACAAATTGTGTAAAAATTGCTTCACATGTATGCTTTGACAAAGGTATGAATGATCTACCAACACAAGACATCCCACCAAACATAGTTCAAACATATCTCCAGATGACACAGAAACCAAAGACAATGACCTTTGTTTCCATATATCACCATTTCAAAGTACACTTACCAAAGAGATTTGTGTCAAATGTAAAAGTCACACCTTTGGACTTGAACTTGACGAGGATGAGCTCAATGGTCACGCCTTCATGAAGGACATCACCAAGAGATCAAGTGCTGCCACCATGTTCTCCTCTCACAAATCTACACAAAATCAAGTCCGTGGAGCGTTTATCATCTTGATCAATAACAAACCTTTCTTCAGCAAACAATCTGTCCTTGAGATCCTTGAATCTTTAGTTGCAAATGGTGTTACAAAATTTGACATCAAGCTTGCTCCTGTCACTAAGACTTCAAGTGTCCGCATATGGAAAAAAGTTGATGAATACTAACATGCACCAACAGACAAATTCAATACAACCACCAAAATCAACTATGCCACATTACATGCAATCACTCCATTGCAAACAGGTCTCCAAGTTCTATCCCACATTGTTTCTGACAAAATGATAAGGCTTGCAATAAATGATCTTACGTCACAAATGACAACAAAAGAAGAAAAGGCCCTTGGACACTTCACTTGTCAAAAATTGAAGAAACTTGATAATTGGAATGAATGGTTACATGCTGAACAAAAACAACTTGACCAATTCCACAATCTTGAAATGTATGGAAAACCAACACCAGGACCTCCAAAGTCCCTTCTACTACAAAATCATTGGCAATACCAAGTTCGCAAAACTGGTGAACATCAATCTTGCAACTGTTGCAATGGATCAAAATGCTTGTTACTCCATGCCATTGCTTCTACATACTCCTCTTGTGTTGAACAACCAGTGCAATGACTATTCTTTGCTTTCACTGCCATCCTCAACTAGTACAAACTTTAAGCTGGGGATGCAAAAGATGCATACGCCCATTCTCCACCACCAGAAGTACCAACATTTGTTGCTATTGATGGTCAATAAGCAGATTGGTACAAATGGAAATTTGGAGAACAACTTGATCCAACTGATGTCCTCCCGGTGCAACATGTCTTACAAGGTCACCCCGAATCTGGAAGACTTTGGGAAGAACATATTAATAAAATGGTCATACTTTCCTCTGAAGAACTCAAATTCACAACAATGACTCATGACAAATGTATTTATCAAACAATTTACAAAGATACTAAAATTTTGATGTTGCAACAAGTCGACAACTTCCTGATATCTTCCCCAAATGCCACCCTTACCAACAAAATATATGAGATCATCAACAAGAAACTGCAACTGCCAAAAGAAACAAATATCCCATTCAAGAACTTGGGACGCACCACATTGTACAATGGCAGCAATATCAATCAAACAAAACACTACATCAAAATTTCTTGTGAAGATTACATTGACCAAATTGCTTGATCACATAGCTGGACAACATCCAAAGATGAGCTAACCAGCCATCCAACTGCCCCTTCACCTAAAAAAGCTCTGGACCAAATTTTCAGTGAAGATGGTCAACCAGAGGGATCTACAGAACACAAGAAATTGAAACAACAACATGGATTTTCCTACCAAGCACTCCTTGGTAAAATCCTTTATGCATACAATGTTTGTTGCCCTGACGTTGGATTTGCTGTATCTACACTTCAAATACCTAAAGGGTGTTGCTCTATACCTTTGACGCACAAAGACATGGGGTCTAAGATTCAGCAAAATTACAATACTGCAAGACAACAAACTTATAGATGGAAACTTCAAAGATTATCTGATCCCATTACCTGATAATCTTCCACCATTTCCACCATTATCACCATTACCTACCAAAGCCACCATCACCTTTCCAGTTGATGCCCCATACACAAATATAAAACCAAAACAAAAGTCTACTACAGGATTCGCGATCATGATGGCAAACGCTGCCATTTTATACAAATTGAAAACCCAAACACAACCAGCGCAAAGCTCAACCAAAGAGAAATCTATGCCGCTGTTTCCCCTGTAAAAATTGTGTTGTATCTCAGGTCTATTCTTGCTCCTGACCTGGGCTTTCCCCAACAACAACCAACAACATTGTATGAAGACAACAACTCTACAATAAGAAATGTCAACTCAGGAATCCTGACAGAACAATCACAACACATCAACATACCATACTTTGCAATACAAGATTGGAAATGAGACTTATATCAAGATGCAGTTTATCAGCAGTAAAATTAACCTGCAGATTCACTCACTAAACCTCTTGGCTGGGTCCTTCACAATTGCCACGTATACCAACTCTTCTGGTGGCACTTTGCTATTGTTCCACCCAACTGATATTCTCCTTCCTCATCTCTTCTGCTCTGATCTGCTCGATTCACATATAACAGATCGAGGGAGGGTGCTGTCGGTGGGATATCAGATAGTGGGCATGATTCATATCTATGATACATACGTATGACACATATGTATGATTCATACACATTCTACATATATGACTCACTTGGCCCCCCTATGGATCCACATGATTGACATGACTCACTTGTTTCACTTGCGTGACTGACTTGACTCATTCAATTCACACATCACTCAATCTCCATTGTGATTGATTGTAGATTTCATAGTTTGTCAATCCTTGGTAAAAGCATCAACTCACTTTTCTACTAGCACACAATTTACATCACTATTAGAATGTCACTCCCACAATTATTTGCATTACTAAGGAGAACTTTCTTGTTAGGTCATTTCTTGTTCAAAAGAGGAGGTGCACCATATCATTGTCAAAATTTCATTTGCAGTGGTGTTAATAGTATTTGTAATTTTGTGTGTGAAAAGTTACTTTTAATCACCCACATGCTCATTTTTTTTAATTGTACTGATTCTCTTTTTTCTATACAGTCATATTTTATTGGGGGATAAATGAAAATATTGAAAAATGTTAAGGAAATAATGGGACTTTCAAACAGGGATAGCAAAATCAGAGTTGCAGTACAGTCATTGTGGGACAGAGGAAGTTCTATGCAGTCAAGAGTAAATTGAGGTCCATGTTATTATCATGGGAAAAGTTATGTACTTCACTGTTGATAGCTTTCGCACTCTCAACTGCATAGTACAAAACTTTCACCCATGATAATAACACGGACCTTCAAAGAGTACATTTTCTGGTATGCTTTGGTTACAGCAGTAACATCACTGAGATTGAGAGCTTGAGATTGAGATTGACAAAATGAGGTTACTGCAAGTGCTATCTTCAGCAAAACCACCAAGAAGCTCAAGAGCTTAAAAGATAGTGCTTGTTGTGCTGGAGTGGAGCAACTCCACAGTAATTTATGCAACCACTGAAGCAGCTCAAAATTACAATGTACTCTTGTGCTCGGACAAATGAACTACAAGCACTGTCTTCTTTGCCACGGGGGAACAGGCACTTGTCCCTCCTCATCCCTCTGGATAGTAGATATGGAGGAGGCAGTCTCTGATACAATACAATTTGCTGATACACAGGATACTGGTGATATGAGTTGCTGATATGGGTGAGCTGCAGCCACTAATACAATATGACTTACTGATACAGAGGATGCTGATACAAGACACTGATAAAATATGAGGAGTTAGCGCTGATACAGAAGAGTTGCTGATATGGAGGAGCTGATACAGAGGATAATTGATATTACGATTTCTACTATAATTTCTTCATGAGTTTGTGTACTTAGTTCCCAATAAATTTTCTTTCTTGTACTTCACTGTGTAACTGTGCAGGTGAAAAAGGGCCTCTTGCAAGGGAAGGGTTTGGTTACAAGCTCTGGTTACAAAATTCAGTCTGCATGCTTTGTAATCAGTTTGAGGTGCATGTACTTAAGCAAAAAGCAATTAGTGTTTATACATGGGAGGTGGTCCGCAAAAGCTTGTACCTGAACTGTACTGTTTGTGCTGAGTACATGGTATTTTTGAGCTGCTCAGCAGTTATGATATGTTATCTGTGGCATTGCACAGTCCGTGCATGTACCCAAAAAGTAACCAGAATTTTATTGTACCTTTTGAGGTCAAACTTCAGCTTGAGAACACACAATGCAAAACCCTTAACACCATTTTCAACATCACTGAGGCCAAGAGTTTTGCTCCAGACCAAAGCAAGGTTACTACAAGTACTATCTTCAACAACAAGCTAAAGACAACCAGCTTGAGGTGCATGAACTTACTAAGCAAAAAAACTAGTGTTTGTTACTATCATTAGTTTTTTTAAAACAAGCAGTAACCAAGCATGCATGGATACATGTGATTTTGGTGCTGGTGCTCTACTGCAGTTATGCACCAAACGGTGTGGTTCAATTTGTACTCATATGTACATCTACACACCACCACAAAGCATCAAGAAGAAAGTAAATCTATCCAACAGCAGATGAATTCAAATAATAGATACCCTAAACCAAAATGTGGGGAGTCTGACTCAAGTAGTCTTGTCTTTTTGGTGACAAATTAAACCAAAAAGAACGAGAACTCTCACCACAAAGCTATGCTAAAATTGCTAAATTGTGCATTCTTCTACTATTAGTTTTGTGTTGCTGGTGGTGGTGGCCATCATTGCTTCTTCTTCTTCCTCCTTGCTCACTTCTTTTTCTTCTTCCTCCTCCTCCTCTTTTTTGTCCTACCTTGTTGTTGCTGCTCCTTGTACTAGTAGAAAGTATCACCCATCTATGCCACTAGAGGACCAGCAGGTCCTCACTTCTTCTTGGGAGGCCCAGTGGTCACTTGGGGTGTGCTTCCTAGAAACACTATTAGTAGTACTAACTTTTGTTTTTGCTGTCAATTCTACCTCTTCAGCAGGTGCAATTCTGGGAGATTCCCTGACACAAACAACAAAAGACTACCATTACTAACAACCAAGCCATCTCTCCTAGCAGCAGTTGCAAGTATCAACATCAAGATACCACCTACTAGTATTACTAGTAGTAATATATTGTCTACCAAGAATAAGAAACAACAAACACTAGAATTTCAAATTTGAACTTGTGAAGTTTCAATAATTATTGTTGGTACTTGAAATGATTGTTATATCCAAACAAACAATTTCTTCCTCTGGACCATTCTAAATTTTTGAATACAATAAATACTATTGTATAGTGTGGGCCAAGA